AATATTTAAAAATATTTAGAAATTTTTAGAAAATTTGTGAATTTTTACGAATATTTAAAAATATTTGTGAATTTTTACGAATATTTCAGAATATTTGAGAATATTTAGAAATTTTCAGGGTATTTGAAAATTCTTCCCCTAGATACGTAGATAAAACTCAATTCACCGTCACAGTTATCGCGTTATCATCAGTCCCGACACAAATCCACTAATTTCGCGACGACGATAACACGCGAAAGGTAGGCCTTTAGGAAAAACGGCGATAACAGATAAGCGAAGAGGTGAGAACAGTTGTTTCGGATAAGGGATAGGCTATGAATTTCGTACGATAATTGGAGAAAGAGAGAAGGTAATCTGGCTGTGTGCCGGCAACTGTTGCAGCCAGACGCGTAACTCTCTCTAAATGGTCAAGCTGGATATCGTGGGAATCGAGGTTGAAAACGTGGCAGGGACGGTAACGTTTAGTCCCTCTCCGCGTCGAATTCGCTACCGTGGAAACCGTTTCAGCGGCTGCTGTTTCCGGATTCGTGCACCTCGTGTGTGCATTCATCAACGAGCTATCGAGACTCGAAACACAAATAACGATCTAATGCTCCCACTGAGGGAAGTAGACAGGTATCTGATCGTATTCACTATTCGTGCTACAATTATCGAGGCCGCAACGGGATTACTAGAAATTACATCCATTTTCCTCCAACCCAAGTCGCACTGATACCAGCTTCCTGGAAGAGTGACACAACTGAGAATAGTACCTACATTTTTCAGGAAAGTAAAAAATACACAGTTACTCTACCACAAGTTTCTCTATTCTTCTATACATTCCTTTTTCAAATCTGAAAATTCATGAAATTTCGTACAAGGGAGATGCAGCGACACGATTAGGACAGTAATTTAGCAAAGCACGTTATTTGAGTAAAACCAGTGCTTGTTTATTTCTCCGAAAAGTTTCACCCATGAAAATTCGAGAACTCCTAACTCTCATATTTCGAGTAACTTCTAAATCATCATTTGAAGATTTTCTTTCTTTTTTTGATTTGTGATTTTCTGATATCTCTTTTGTTATATTTGGGCATCATCCGTAGTCATCAAATAGAAGTAATCTGTTACCTGAAATTTCAAAAGAACGACGAATTTCGAATGTAAAAATGTGTCAACTCTCTTTTTCGGTTCGCTTCTTAAAAATTCGTTTTACAAGGTCGGATGGTGAAAATTGTGGATAATAAGATTTGAAAGAAGGTCAGAAAATGCTTTCAGGAGCATGCTAGTGAAGATATAGTGTATTAACTGGCACAAATTGATCGATGACATTATACCCTCGATACGAAATGAAGGACATAATTGACGAATACGATAAGGTAGGACAACATGTGCTGACAAACATTAAAGCGAGCAAATATTAGCTAAGTATACACGGTGATGTTGGATCTCCATTCGGATGGTAATCTACGTGAAATTACGCGAAGCGAATTTTCGAGGAACTATTCAAAGTATCTCGTTAATTACCAGACCTAGGATTAATAACAGTCGATGCATTTTTATTCAGAATTCGACGACAACGTTGAAATTAATTTTCAAATCTATGAAATGTTAATTAATATCTACTTTTTCTTCCACCGAATTCGGTAACAATATTATCCGAGGTGGTGAAACGTTGACTTCCGAAGCTCTTCAAGTCCAATTCATTTAACTCTATAACTCTCGTTGCGAACAAACATGAGCCGTCACGCGCAAAAGTCGACGATCGAAACAGACACGAATAGAAATGTTCCTTCCTTTTCACAAAATCGTTCGAGTTCTGAGTCATAGTTTCCTCGAATTTTACTATCGGCACCAAGCTATCGACGTACACTCCGATTCGTAAATTAGGGACACTTGGTGTATGCGAAGCGAGGTATAACGAGTATGTATATTTCAGGACTAACTCCGTCAAATTTTTTTTTCATTTACGAATAGTTAAGCACCATACATGTGCTTTGATTCCAAATTGGAAAAGTTTCCAAAAGTAGAGTTAATCATTTTAGCTTCTGAATGGTTGATATGATACTAACTTCGGCAAGGATATGTAATTTAAATCGTATAATACACAACGGGTTTCCTACTACATATGAAACTTGGCTGCTGCTATTATCGCTCCCACCGACTGTACATATGTACAGTATATGTACCATCGTAATTACCAATAGCTAACAGATTCATTACACGTTTCATTCTACTCTGGTTTCTTTCGACGTTTGCTTAAAACTGTCAGTTTAACAATAAACACTTCTTCTCCTATTAACTGTTCAAATATCGTGCAAATAATTGTGAGAAAATCCGTCCCGAATACGGAGAAGCGAGCACCTTGAAGCCAGGCCCAGCGCGCTCGGTGGGGGTGACTCCGCCCCTTTGGGCCTTTCCCTGGGCCTGTTCGCGTAGGGGTGGACAGGGACCGGCAGGACCACGCGTACTCACTCTTCCCGAGACCCTTAACGTATACTTTTGCGAACGACGCCCGAATAACTTGGATATAGACTTGGAATAAAATATATTATTGTGGAAACGTTCAATTAATTTTACGCCCACCCTACTCCGAGACAGAGTACTTTTTCTGACATAATTGTTATGCAAAAGAAACGTAATGCGAAACTTCTTCCCCTATTAAGTATTAAAATATCACGAAAATAAGTTTTATAAAAAAGGAAGCCTAACGCGATAGAATTTAAATCACACGATACTTGCTACACGAGAATAACGGGTGTCCCAATAGTTCTGCACAGCACTGTGCATTACGTTTCAAAGCACGCCTCTATTTTCTAGCTCAATCCAGGCGAAATTATTGCGACAGAGTGTACATTTTATCCGTCTTAAGAAGCCATCTATACGCCAGTCTCTCGCGAGTACTTACTTTGTATTTGACTGCCGTTCATCGCGTTCCCTGCCACTCGTAGCTCATGTATCTCGTAGCCAACCTAACAGTCCCAGCCTTCGTAAACATCGATGCCAAACCTGGTGTGCGCGGCATATAAAATCGATGCACGATCGTAAAAGTAAAACCACGTTGCCGAGAGAACGCCTTTTTTCTTCTTCTTCGATAAATCACCCGAGATTATGATATACCATCGATAAAAGTATATTTTTCCTTTCGTCCTTTCGCCGGGAAGGAAATTTCACAGTTCAGCTACCAGATTTTTCCTTTTCCCTTCATCTGGATTCGTTTGAAAATTTCATTTCACCTAATACACGGTTCATAAGTCGCGTTGATAGTTACTATTGCTCGATGTCGGACGGGCCGAAAGATATGGGTCGCGATCAGCACGTCTGATCCTTCGGTACGCAGCATGTACTTTCTAATGCAACGGTTTTCCAAGGAATTGCCAGGCTTCGATGGTAATATTGGAGAAAAGTTTCAGATAAATTTCGAGTAACGAAGAAAATTCGAATTGCTTGTTAATCGGGAATGAAGAACGAGTAAAGTAGCTATTATTCGTAAAAGAGGAATAAATTCGAATTTATGCAAGTGATTCGCAATTCTTTAATATTTTGTGAAAATTTCAAGTAAATCCGACAAAAATTGTACAAATTATAAAAAACAAATGAAAATAGAAAACGTCGTCCTGAGAAATCTGCGTTTAACGCTTCATTTTACCATTATTACCTATTTTCACGGGGGAAATCTTCGGGTATCACGTTCTAACGACACAAAACTCCAAATTTCGAAGATATTGCTCGAAGCGTAAACCACCGATTGGAAGATGCACAGTCCGGATACGACGCTAGCTCGAAGTAGGTAAAGCGTACAGTAGAAAAGGTAAATGTCATCCGACGTCTTACCGAGAATAAGTTTCATCGCAGAGGAGCGGCGGCGCATCTTCCTTCGTTCACCGTGGCCATTAGCGTTCGACGATAACCTTTCAGAGAAAGATCGCAGTAAGAAAGCACGCGCTTGCTTACCGGAGACGTGCCTTTTGTGTTCTCCGCGTACGGAGGACCTCGCGTGACCCTTCTGTGTCAGGTGAAAACACTCGTAACGCGCAAGGTTGCTTATTGCACTATATGCCCGCCCTCGGGAATTATTAAGGAAGCTTTGCTAAAAGAAAGGACACGATCCAGGGACGTATGGTCCTCGCGAGTTTCCTTTTTTAACCTTTTTAGGGAGCACTTGCTGAAACGCTCGGAGGATTCTTGTAGGAAAAACACTGAAATCTTTAAAATTTGTTAAATTAGAAATTCAAGAAACTGGCCACGATAGAATGCCTCTTGGCAAGATATCGAAAGAGTAACTAAAACGCGAAGAGTTAGTAAAAAAGTAAAAATGCTGCAGAGATGTAACCGACAACAATACCGTGAATTCTCTACAAGTGTCAGTCAGTTTGGATTCTACAAGTGTCAGTATAGATGGTCCTACGCCTGGGCTGCGTAACGCTACACCACTCGGTTTCTTTTACGAGATTTCACGGCTCGACAATTCATAATAGAAAAATATAATTTCTTTAATTTTCCTTTATTTTATTTGAAATTTTTTTAACATGTTACTTATAACATACAACTTATGAACACGTTCACTGTCTGGCCTGACAGTGAATAAGTAAATGTTGTTCAAATTATGTCGTGTTTGATGTCATTTTCATCAGAAAAATCTCATCAATATGTTAAGAAAAATTTCGGGATAAAAAGCGTAAAATTAAAAAAAGTTGGTATTTAAATCGCTTGGTTGCCTCGACTCACGTTTCATCCTTATCTTTTATTCTCTGCCCTTGTCTACGTTCGGCAAACTACAAAGGCGGGCGCGAGGCGCGAAAACGTAGTCCCTGATTCTACAAGTGTCAGGTTTAGGTTCCTTGCGGACTGACACTTGTGGAGAATTTACTGTACATAGCATCTTTCCGGCCGACTCTCTCTTCAGTGGCGTCGATAACTTTATTTTTTAACCAATTCAAATTAAAAATTGAAGAAGTTATCAACCCGATCAAGAAGAGAGCCGGTCGGAAACATGCTCTACAGAAGCTTTGTAAAAGAAATAATTTTCTTTTAACACGAGTGTATCAAAAGTAAGAATAAAGAAATAAATATTGATCCAAATATATTGCAAATGATCGTTCCATATATGAATTTCTTTTTAAGTGTTAACAAGTGTTCAATTTTAAACGAAACCAGTAAGTTAATTGAAAATCTTAATTCTCGATTAATAAGGTTAATACTATAATAGATACGAGAGATGTTCGTGTGTTAATTTTTACAGTTTTCGTATTAAATGTAATAATTAGTAAAAATAGCAAAACCAATTTTTGAATATGGATTATTACAAGACTACCACGATTCGATTCGTGAATTTTGATTAATTTGTCCGATCGTTAGGCTACATATGAAAATAGAAAAATGTCTAATAAAGCGTTTCAACAGCTGGCACTCGTTGTAAGCTGTCGTTCATTCTGCCATTGCCGCGGTAATCCCGTAATCTTTTTCTCGAAAGTAGACGTTTTGTGTCGCCGACTGAGTCACATTTCCGGTCAGACGGATTTCTTGCACCTGCTCGAGCAACTTCAGGAGAAGCCACTCGGCGAATTTTAAATCACTCATCTCGGGGGAAAGTTAGTTTTCCCTGAAACTTCATTCGTAAACATAGCACAGTTCGTCTCCTGTATACACATATGTTTACCATTACATAACGAACATTTATAAAACAAGATTTATTCTTCTGAAAAAAGCGGACAATTGAAATTGAAGTTTTATCAATAGTATAATATTTATTTAAAACTACCATAGATTTTAACTCTCTACAATCTAACTTTTCCTCGTTTATCGGATGAGAAATTGATCGAATTTAATTAAAATTAATTTAACAACACTCTATTTTCAATTAAAATATTGAAAAGCAAGAATTAACGATTATTACAAAAAAATTGACTGATAATAATGCGATAGTACAGCAATGCAACAGTGTAGCGATAAACAAATGAAAATATAGATAATATAGAGTAATGGATATGCGACTATGAAGTCACGTGGCGTTGTAGAGGGTTAATTACAGTTAACAGGTGTTTAATGACAATCGGTATCGTTATTACTCGTGTTCGCCGAACATTATTCACAGATACCACCGACATTACATAGTAACAGCGGTAGTAGTATTGATATTGATAACAGTAGTAGTTCTGGTACTAGTGCTAACACTCCAGCTGTTATCTGCAGTACATGTGTACACACCACATACTGTCATGTTTGCAAGGACTACCAAATAGACGAGACGTCTGAGTACAGAGGCCTGACGTCAATTGAACAAAGAAACTCAACTAACGGTAACAATGGTACAAAAACAAACAAGTCTTGTGTATACACCGTAAAGCACGAATCATTTCTTGCCGAGCTGAAAATATTCGATTAGTCGACGATATCGGCATTGAAGACCGTGTTTGCACAATTCGAAACATGATGCTTAAAAGCGATAAAATGCATCTCTAACGTTAGGTCCAATATTAGGTTGGTAAATGTTTCTTTTGAAATGAGAGTTGAGCTAACACCAGTTTACTCTGGCCACGAGATAATTTTACGAAGAGAATGTAGTTTATTGCTGTGAAATAACAGATTTTTGGAGAAATAGTGTGTTTCACAAAAATTGCATATAGTAAGGAAATTTCTAAAATTTAATACTAAAATTTAGTACACAGGGCAGGCCGTTAAAACATTCACTTACCGAATGTGAAGCAAATCGAAATGATAACTAAAAAATTATTAAGGTCCTGAAATAATTATTCTAACTGTACTAACTTTGGCATTAGATAATAGTTTCTATACGAACGTAACGGGTGTCCTAATATTTACTAAACGGCTGTGTAGAATAAAGTAATGAAGTATTAAATTGTAATTCATCAAAAACACTATCCTCGCACAAAATTTTTGTTAATTTGTTTCAGGTTTGTGCGAGGTGGAGTCAGGTCAATCCAATATCATTCTGGATATCGAGGAGAGCAGAGGAGATGGTGAGTTCAAGTTTCAATGCAAAATTGACCCGTTAGAAACTTTCCGAAAATGAATATTTACGATTCAAAAATTAGATTCATACCGATACACGCAGGAAACAAAGTTGCAAAGCTATAAATCAGTATCGAATACTATTCACTTTTCCTTAACGTTGCTAACGGGTCACTTTTGACCCGGTCGATTTTTCAAATGCTAAAACCAGAAAATTGGGCGCCGTTTACTCTTTCAATCAACACCCAATTACTCGATCTCACTAAAGACCATGCTTTTTTTTTTACTCGTTTCTATTACACACCAGAGTGCTTCGCTGTAATTGTAAGTTACAGCTTGTAACGCGAATGTTGAAATGAAATTTACGCTCACGCGTGTGTCCGAATAACATTTTTCCCAACCGTACACAATTCTACCATAAATCAGGCATTTCACGGAAGCTGAAAAAGTTTTATAGCAGAATTGTGCCATAACAAAGCCTATTCGAATTTATCGCCACGTATCGCTATTAATTAGAGACACCTGTAGTAAATACGTTTGACACAAAAAATACACAATCCTCGTACATTTTAATAAATATTCAAACGTCGTCGTTTTTCTATTTCTTCAACATAAAACTTCAGACCTGTCAGTTTCAGTTGTTGAAAAAAACCACGTTTAATTCGAGCCAACCTACTTATAAGAAAGAAATCGACACGGAAGATTAACGCCCTGTTAATTCTCCGCAACAAAGAAGGGAAAATAAATCGACACGGTGCAATTAGGAAACATTGGATGTCACTAATGAGATATATACATGTAGCTCGTGCTCGCGCCTAGTTTACCGAGATAACATTAATTATCTGGATCGCGGACAGCAGGCCGAACATCAGGAAGTCATTTTACAGGCTCTTACTGAATCTAATGTAACAGCACCGGCTTTCTCCGCTCTATTGGCCGCGCGCTCTCTTCTCTAACGATTGAAATTATCAACTGCGCGATTTGCCGGCAATGGGAACAGCAAGAGTGCGGTATAAATTTGTAATTATGCATCTTTAACGAGATTTGGCTAAGAAATGTGCGTTTCGTCGTTGAACGGTAAGCGCGTCATCTTGATGGACGATGTTGCGCTTGATTAGCTTTTGTAATTACACTGTGCTTTTTAAAATGCTCGACTCTTTTCGTCGATAGCTGGGCATTATCGCGAAGGGTAACAGGAGGATATATTTTTCTTTCGTTTGTTTCATTTGTTACGTCGCTTCGTGTGTTATGTCATCGTGCGTGTAACACGTGGGGAATAAATCGGGAATCTTAATTAAAAATGCTTCCCTTATGTTACACGCCTTGTCACTCTGACGTTTTTTACGTAATTAACTAACTTTCCTTTCGAAAATGAATATTCAAAATTCACAGACGACTCGCGCAACTCGTTCGTTCGCACACTCGACAATCGATCTGTTCCTGAATACTTCAATATGATACAATTTTGCTAGCACGAAATGAGACAACGATCGAAAATTAATTTGCAAAATTTTTTGGCAAAAGTAGTTCAGTATTTCGTTTTTTATGGCATTTGAAAAAAAAAAAAAAACAAATCTTAAATACTTCCCTCTTTACATACACTACCGGCCACAAGTTCGGAATCACCTGCCAATTTACATCGATAATGAATCTGCTACTAATTCTTTACGGATTTCAAATTGATGTTGTGGAGATGAATAGCACTTTACCTCGTTTCGATTGATTTGAACGATAAAAAATTCGTTAAACGAGATTCTTAAAATTGCTAACTTTTCTCTGGAAATTTTCGTGTAACTTACAGCGCACAGTGATTCCAAACATTTTGCCGGTGGTGTATGTACATATGTTAACATATTTGTGTGCGATAGATAATTTTGCCAACACAAAATGACAAAAACTTTTTGACATAAGCAGTTTAATATTTCGTTTTCTATGCCGTTAAAAAAGGAAAGAAAACAAATTTTAAATACTTTCCCCTTTACGTATGTTAACATATTTGTGTGCGATATATAATTTTGCCAACACGAAATGACATAAAAATGTTAATATTTTGTTATTTATGCCATTTAAAAAAACCAAGTTAACCTTCGCATCTTCTTCTAAGCCTATCAAATTATGCATCCCCAGAAACCGTTTAATTTTTATCGAAACACTTCTCGACATCGTCAACAGTTTCGAATGTGCTACAGAGGATTGATTTAATCGAGACAGCCAGTATACATATACACGAGAGGCCGTGTTCGAAAAAAAAACAAGTAACGTTATCACACCGCATAATTTTCGCCGATCACTCGGATGAATTACGCTGTACTGGGCGTACCTAAACCGAAACAAATCGCCCGGCACCTTTCTAACTGCGGCAGTCTGTTCACGGATTTTCATTTTTCAGCGATCGATCAGAAGACCGTGCCGGAGGAACTTCCGGTATCTGGCGATCCCTATAACGAGACCACGCTGGAGCTTATCTTTCCTGGAAGGCAGCCTCGTTTCAAACTGAATGGCAAGAAGCTGCAACTGCTCGAGCCGTTGGACAGGGACGATGAAAATCTCTCGCATGTTGTATTTCAGGTAAGAAGAATTTCACTTAGATCGTTGGAATTTGCAACGGAACATTAGGCGGACCCCTTTCTGCTTTCGTAGTCTCTCTCTCTCTATTCTCGTCCCTCTCTCTCTTCTCGTCTCTCTCCTTCTCTATTCTCGTCTCTCTCTCTCTTCTCGTCTGTCTCTCTCTCTCTATTCTCATCTCTCTCTATTCTCATCTCTCTCTATTCTCATCTCTCTCTATTCTCATCTCACTCTATTCGCGTCTCTCTCTCTCTCTCTCTTCTCGTCTGTCCCTCTCTCTCTATTCTCGTCTCTCTCTATTCTCGTCCCTCTCTCTCTCTTCTCGTCTGTCCCTCTCTCTCTATTCTCGTCTCTCTCTATTCTCGTCTCTCTCTCTCTCTCTTCTCGTCTCTCTCCTTCTCTATTCTCGTCTGTCCCTCTCTCTCTATTCTCGTCTCTCTCTCTTCTCGTCTCTCCTCTTTATTCTCGTCCGTCTCTCTCTCTCTCTCTCTCTCTCTCTCTCTCTCTCTCTCTCTCTCTCTCTCTCTCTCTCTTCTCGTCTCTCTCTCTCTCTCTCTCTCTCTCTCTCTATTCTCGTCTCTCTCTCGCTCTCTATTCTCGTCTCGTCCGACCGTGCGAAATCAAATTTGTCCTATTCCTACTATTCACCCTTTCTATACCGGCGACATTACGTCATCGGTAATCGTTCACCGTGTGTCGCGCTCTTTATCTCGAGAAAGTCTCATTGCCGGCTATATTTTTCCCCGATTCGTTCCGAACATGTTGCCTGACATGTCGCTGAACGCGGAAAACAGAAACGGCTAATCAAGTACGCGTACGTGTTTTCCGAACGCGAAAGAAAAGTTTCGCGCGGGGAAAAGTCGGGACAATCGACAGCGAGTGTGGACACTTTTGTTCGGAGAAATTCTTCCGAGGAAAAACCTTTTTCAAATCATTTACCACCTCTTATAGCACAGTTTTTACGAGGAAATTCTCGTTATCGTAAACAGACACGGATCTCAGCCGAGCGAAAAATTACCAGTTCCTTTTTTTCGTCGATCGCGATGGACCGATGGGAAAAGTGAGGGTCCCTATGTTGGATTTATTCTACACTTGGCACCGTCCCGTTGCATTTTCTGTCGCGATATAAGAAGCACGCTGTTTGATTCTCGGAAAGGAATCTCGTTACTCGTCACAGGAATCTTTTTGCTCTTACTCGCGGCAAATCAGCTTACCCCCGGAGCCATCACAAAACCGGAAGCAAACACGAACTTTCCGACAGGATCGTGAATGCCGGTAGAATTTCACGACTCTCCATCTTTATCGGCGTGCTTCGCTGACAACTTAAACGCTTACTTAACGGTGAACATCTGCTTTTAAGTATCCCTTCGTCTAAACTCAACACTCAACTCTAGTTTCTCAGCTGCTGGTATATCGAGCGTTCACGATCTTCGAATTATCCTTTTAGCTACGAGATGTCTTTGCTCGGTAGAGAGTTTTCGTTCTTTGGAAAATTAACGTACAACGGCAACCTGTATACTAATATTTCTTGTGTAAATTATTCTGTTTTAACACCTTAACCCAGTGATGGCGAACCTTTTCAGCTCGGTGTGTCAAAATTGGGAGAAAACCTAGCTTAACTCGGGTGCCGTGTCACATCTAGAAATATCCGTAACTGTTGCGAGCGTTACGACCTTGTAATTAACGATTCTGAACCTCGTTGATAGAAGATAGACGCCGTTGTTTGTCTGATGATTATTTCTGATCTGCTCGGTTTCAGCTGTGAGGTGACTTAAGGGGGTCTTCTAGCGTGGCGGTTTCAAAAAATCGATTTTTATTTTTTTGCATATGTCGAATGTACAACTCTTTAAGAATGTACTCCTCAAGTTTTATAGCTGTAATCAATAATTAGTGTGACATATCAAGGGAGAATCTAAATTGCACTGAAAACTTTAAACGCGTTTTTCTCGGAACCATGTTTCCTGAAATGGTTGCCACGATCTGGCAAAAACTACCGAACCAATCGAACTCAAATTTTGCACGTATCTTCAGAACATGTGTGGCTATGGTCGGTAGTAGAATTATGCCAAAATATACATTTTTCTGATTTTTGGAGCCTCTGAAAGACGAAAAAATGTCGAAATAATCGATACTTCGTATTCGAAGTGCCGCCATTTTTTGAATTTTCAATATTTTCCTTTTATTCTACCACCGACCATAGCGACATGCATACTAAATAAGAATCAATTGGATTCTTTTATTTCTGATAAGCAGAACAGCTCAAATCATGACAACCATGGACCTACTTTTTTCTTCATGCTCCTGTTTGACGTGTTCCACAGCAGCCATATTTAATCATTTTTCAACAACAAAAATTTGTAACGATTCTTCAAGGACAAGTAAATACATGGGAATAAATCTGGTGTTAATAACTGTTACCGTACTTCTGTGATAAATTAGCAAAGAAGGCCTAAAAAAACGGCCGTCACACTACAAGACCCCCTTAAGTCGATACGTGTCACCCAAAATGTCTTGGCGTGTCACCTTTGACACGCGTCGTCATAGGTTCGCCATCAATGTCTTAACCTATAACAACGTGTCAGACTCGTGGCAAAAATTCCGGTTAAGATTTGAGAAAAATAGTTATATCACTAAGAAAAATTCATTGTTAATTAAAACTGATTTTCGTTTGAATTCGTAAGACTGAAGATTACTAAATGTAATCGATCTGTAACAGATCAGCTTTAGCTACCCGATACAGCAGTGAAACATAAAATGGCTGACGCTTAGACGCAAAGTCAGAAAAGAAGTCATAGTTCAAGGGGTTAATCAGCATCGTTGTCTTGCTTGCAGCACTATTTTTGGTATTTCGTATACAGAGTGGACCATTTAAATGGAACTGTTTAAATATCTCCGCTATTTGTAAATATATATGAAAATGGCGAGAAGAGAAATTTCTATTTTTTTCGAGATTTCAGGGTCATCAGGCTGTTTTTTTTTCTTTTTTCGAATGGTGTGATATATATTCTCCGTGGCCATATTGGCACCCGTGAACGCACCTTGTCTCTTATGACACTGCAGTGCTAGGAATGTGAAAGGTCTAGAACAGTGTTCTGGTATACACTGTAAGAGATTGCTTGTATTTACCGTTTTCGCAAATTGAGCAGCTAGAATCCAATTCCTAGAAAATCTTGTATACGCGGGGCTTTGTTCTACGAGATTCTAACAATTTCGCGCAATAATTATCGTATGAAAATCACGACACACGTCGTAATTGGTCTAAATTGGTCTCGTGCATGTTCCGCAGGATGTCTCTTACGTGCATCGACAAGAATTCCGTGAAACCTCTTACGTACATCGACGGGAATTCTTGCTGAATTCTTCGAAACTTTATCATTCACGTTAACGGATATTTTTGTCGCGAAAAATTCGGGGATGTTAGTTGAGGACGTCGTTTATTTGAAAACTACGTTCGTTGCAGCGAAAAATTTTCTACAGAGAGAAAATTGTTTAATATTAAAATTTGAAATTCATTATTACTAAATTAATAAAATTCCAAAATTTGTAATAAAAATTCTTAAATATTGTCAACGCAGTATTAGATTACTTTTATTAGTAATTATCGTACTCAAAATTATGTAATTCAACAATATCTGAAAATAGTAACGAAAATTTTTAAATTCTTTTTCCTTCAGAAGCGCTTAGAGTAATTCTTTAAACAAACGATTTACGCCTCAATAATTAATTATCCGATAAATTGCAATTAATCCACTTACGTTAAACCAGTTTTTCTTTCTCTCGTATCCCAATAAAGAAACCTTATTTCTCGGTAGATGCATATTGTAAAACGTCATCGAGCAATTTCACGAGTCATTCTTTAAGAATGTTAGCTTCTTATAAGGCTGAATTGAACGTATTGTGGAAAAAAGAAATGTTTAATGTTTTAACTTTGCTACTAATAGTATTGAATATCCATCGAGAGTGAAAGTCTCGTGGCAAAGGTTAATGAAATTTCCCGCTGTGTTTTTCATGCTCGATGATAAAAGAAAGGCGATAGATGATTATACGTTCTTTGCGTTTATTTCATTACACTTGTTTCACAAATAGAATAATCTCCCTCTACCAAGTGCTATTATATTTTTTCAAACATCAAGTCATATAGTTCTTTCTGCATACGATGACTTTTTACGTCATTCTACACTTTGCAATGTAACTGTAGATTCATAAGATCGTTAAGTACAGTTACACGTACTTACTTCGCATGTTAGCCTCCTCATATGCAGCTACACAGTACATATGCTATAAATTAATCACAATTTATTTCACCGTAAATTTTACGAACCGAAATTTTTTAGAAATTTCAATTATTTTACGTATTTATGTTCCTCGTCAATCTGAAAGCTCAAATTGAACGTAAAAGACGTGTCAAATTTCTAACGAAAATTACCAATATAGAAGATTTCAATTTTTCAGAGTTTTCAATTATTTTCGTAGATATTCTTCATCAATCTAAAAGCTCAAATTGAATATAAAAGACGTGGCAAATTTATTAATAATCAAGTTTTCAATTATTTTTCGTATTTATATTCTTCATCAACTTAGAAGCTCAAATTGAATACAAAAGACGTGGCAAATTTCTTAATAGTCAAGTTTTCAATTTTCAGAGTTTTCGAATATTTTCGTATTCACGTTCCTCGTTAAAGCTCAAATTAAATATAAAACACGTGTCGAATTTCTTAATAATCAATTATTCAACGGAGAAAACTAATATTTTGAAAAGATGCACCGGAGAAAGTGCGAACTTATTTGCATAAAAATTAAACTCACCTCCATCACTCTCCCATTCTCAATTACGAAAGCAAAATATAGATTATTAAAATTCATCACTCTGTTCACTGCTCAAAAGTTGTTTGCTCCGAGGTAAACATTTCTACATAAAAAAAATTAGATATTCCGGCCAAAGCGAAGGTTAAATTAATGCGAAAATTAGGAATGCACCAACCTTTATACTTTCTCGACGAAAAATTCTAAAAGAGCGTCAAGTTTCAGCGTTAGTATTCCCCGTCAATCCCGAAGACGTAATTTAGAAATGTTCTGCATATCTAATAATCTCCCTTCTTTTTTTACAGCTGAGCTGCACGGTGAAGCAAACCAACAAAAAGCGAACGATACCGGTTATTGTGCGGGTATCGGATATAAACGATAACGCGCCGAAATTCATTAACACGCCGTACGAGACCACGGTACCAGAGGTAAGCCACCATAAAGTATCCTATTTTCTCAAGCAGAGGAACTGGTTATCGAGCACCGTAATTCTGCGGAAAATGAGATATTGCGAGATCGATAGGTTATCACCTATTAAACCGGCATTGAACCGAAAATCACCGTTTCAAATTTCAATTAAACTTTTTTACCGACACGCGATGGAACACTTTGACGCCGGGAAATGGGGACAAAGTAAATCGTTTAAACGCATGTCGGTATGCGGGATATAAATCACAGGCGATGTATAAAACTAATTTGTTAACGATACGATGAAAAATATTACAGTATAATAATAACGTTGATAGTAATAAATACCGAAGTTAGCGGGCTCTTGATTTTCCGATAAATCAATTTTAACTGCGCGTCGAATCTAAGATAAAGAAAGAGCACCGGTTAAATAGCAAGTATTAAACACGAAATTTATTGCACGTGTCGAGCAGGTTTATTAACGATAACGTGATATATTATATCGTAGGTCTCGTTATCGTTTACAAGAATTTCACGTTTCCCGCGATTTTATATGCGTTTAACGATCATTAACGTAAGGCAGAGAATCGGCTAGTAAAGTTAGGAATCAGGTGAGGTAGTTGGAACAAAAAAAAAAAAATTGATAATTCGAAAGACAGTAGAGAATATTGGTTATTATATCGTTCTCTTTTTGGTTAAAGTGGAAAGAGAATCGATAAGATGAGTGTCTCATTGAAATATCTCGACGTCCGTGAAACTGTCCGGTCTATATCCATATAATAGGAAAAGTTTCCTTCGGGATCATATATTTACCTGATACTTTGACGGGACATCTTGAGATGATATTAGTTATCGACATTTTTACCGTGAAATATCTCCGCTTTAGAATATCCTTTATAAATTGAAATATTGGTAAACGGAAGGAAGTGCGATTAATCTGAAGTGCGATACATGGAGAAATTGAAAATCAATTTGCAAAATTAGAGATTCTTATTTCTTCAGCTTCCGTTATTGTGCTATGTGACACTTGGTTGTATTTAGAGTATCCTTTCGAAACTGAAACAAGGGCGATTAATCTAAGGGAAAATTTATGAAAAATTGAAAATATTCTGTACAATTCTATATTGAAATTGTTGGATTATTTCTAACAACACCCTATGGAAATAATCAAGTGAGGACAAAAATGTCTCCGGGTTATTTTAAACAATGGCACTGGGACTTCCACCAGATGCATCTGGTGTTCGTCTTCGTCTATCACTCACGGCACAATGGCATACCATAACGTAAACAGTTTCTAGGTATAAGGGGACCCCAACTTTCTTTTGGGTGCCTAGAAACAGTCCTTCAGAAGATTCAATAGAGTAAAGACGTTTCCTCTGAGACCGTAAATAAAATCGTATATTACAAAGATAAAAGACTATTTAATTCCATAACCCATTTCCAATAGAAATTTTCTAAGCTTCCATTTTCGTGACACTTCGTTATATTTGCAATATCGTTTGGAAACTGAAACATTGGTAAATGAAAGAAGGGAAACATGAGAAGTGAAAAATATTCTGTAAAATGTATATTGTAAATTTTCATTTTTAAAACGTGAGAAAAATTGAAAATTCATTATTATACACTTTTATCTTTTAAACTTCTGTTACTATGCTGTGTAACAATTCCTCACGTTTAACGTTGATTTAAAACTATTAAGGAGAATTTGAATGATTTCTGCTATTCTGTAATTTATTGCAGTTAACACCAGTAGGTTCGACGATATTCAAAAACGTGGTGGCAGTGGATGCAGACGCCGGCGTCAATGGAATCGTCGAATACCTAATTGCTCCTGGAGACGGAAATGGAATTGGCAATAATGACGGGGTTGGTCGAAATAGAATTACGACCGCTGATGGATACGGTTATTTCAGCATCAACTTACCTCATCAAGGCCAGGTTACTGTTAACCGTACCTTAGACTTCGAAAGAACACAACGATACCTGGTTACCATTTTAGCTTCTGTAAGTATCGATCGTTTAATTCTACAATTATTTCCCAAGATACTGTAAATTTCAATTATTAACATTATTTTATCCATCGAATAAACGATTAAATTTAAATCCTAATTAGATTGACAATTTCCCAAAATGTCCATTTTACATCAGACTGCAATCATTTTCAACGCAAGGATGTTAAGCCTCGCGAGTACACAGTATCACTGCACCAATTCTATTAACTTTCGTGCAAAATTCTTTTGCAATTCTAAGCTCGTGCATTATATGCAAATATGTTGTCTGATTTGGATAAGAATGGCCGTTGCGATGCGCGGCTTCGGCCGACCGTATTTTCCCTCTTTACATTAGATACCATTTGTCTATGGAAATCTGGCCGACGTTATCCAATCGGTTCATAAACTGTCGGCCCCGTTTCCCTTGGCTTACACGCTATACAAGCGCGCACCATCTGCAATAGTTACATCAGTTGATAGCGCCGGTAACCGGAAATAACGTCTGCGAGCCTACAGAAAGCTCTATCGAACATGTACCTAACGAAATTTAGCATACTTGAATACGTAGCTGTGCACACCGTGAAATCTTTGAAATTACCATTCTCTAGGTAATCGTTCAAATATTACACAAGCTTGAAAGCAATTAAGCGATGTCCAAGTTCTACGTCATTTTTTGTGTTTCATCAAATTAACGATGAAACCGGAGTTTCTTAAATATATTCAAGAAGAAAGAGTGATATTAAGCTCGACGTGTGTTGCTGTTAAATATTTCATATGCAATTTTGTACAGTAGTTATTTTTCTTGATGTTTTAAGTCTACTTGATCGAAAATAAAACTACACAGTCTCGAGTAAGTCCAAGTATTTCACTCTGCTAAGTGCTCTGCTCTTTAAGGATAGCTGTGTTCTTTTGCAAACTTACATTCGCGGAATCGGTCGAATCTCGTATATTTTATCACACATAGAGTGGTCAGCGAGCGTCGTAAAAGGCCGTCATGCGTTCAGAAGCAATGGCTTCCGAGCGGTTACTTTTTAATTAAATCACCGAGGCGGTTTCCATTAAGATAATTATTCCAAAATTGGCGTGTTTTCTTAATT